TGCCTTTTCTGGGTGTGATGGGTTCTGTCTCTGCTGTCCAAAACCCTTTATTTTTCTGTCTGCCTCCCAGATTCCTGATGAATTCGACAATGGTGAGTAAACAAGCACACAGATTCGGAGCTTCTCTGACCCCTCCCCAAGCTCTGCCAGTTACAGTTGTTGCCTTCTCCATCACATGCCCCAACTCCTCCTCCTGAGTGATGGGGAGGGGGGATTCAGCAGCTGGAAGGCTTTGGGGAGATGCATAACAAAGCGCTATCCCCTTCCCTGGCCCCTCAGCCCCAGCAGATGGTCAGGAAGGATGGGGGAGGGGAGTCCAGGGTGGAGCCTTGGGGGAAGCTGCTGTCTGCCACCCGGGGACACATGGCTTCCTGTGCCTTAGATCTGCGCCTCTGCAGCCCCTATCCCCCTCTTTATGACAGCCCCCACCCCCCAGCCACTGCCCATCCTGCTCCTCATTTCCAAGACAATGCCTCCTTCTCGTCCCCTTCTGGTTAACCAGCTTTTAGTGGGGCCTTTCTGACAAATGGAGAGTAGAGATTAGCTGTCACTGCTGTCACACCTCTTCCCTGGAGAAGAATAAAAATGGCAGGTCCAGAAAGCTACCTGTTTGTGCTGGGGAATTTGCAGACCAGCATGTTAACGTGAGCTTTAACCTGGACATGGGGGTAAGTATAGTGTTTAGCCGACAGCTGTAGCCTGGTTTGAAGAAGCCAATATTCTGATTTCAGTGAGGCAGGTGCGCACACTAGTATGAAACGTGTGTGTTTGTCTCTGATGTTTTGCTTTTTAAAAGTCTAGAAATAGCTCCCTGGACTGAGAATGCCGTTTTGAAGCGTGCAGTCATAGAAGTCCTGATTCAAACTGGACTTGGTATATTTATCTGAGTCAGGGTTTTGCAGCCTCTGCCCTGTTGCTGCTTTGGGCCAGGAAGCGGTGAGGGGTGTGCGGTGTGCCGTAGCGGCTAGACAGCCTTTGGGCCCCCAGGCACTAGGCACCACAGAGTTCCCGAAGTTCCGCCAGGGGGTTGCCGGACCCCTAGTGAGGAGGCGGTCGGAAGTGTGCATGTGTGTGTGCGTCACCTCGGCAGGAGCCTCCGCCCTGGCTTGATGCAGGGTGACCTGGGAGCCCGGTGGCCCACGGTGGACGTGCGGCAGCTGTAGACGTGTGTGGGTTTAGGTGAGCGCACTGCGTGCCGGGGGTGCCGGGCAGCTTTAAGTTGGGCAGGGAAGGAATGTGTGTCCTGCCCGGTGGTGGTGTGCGTGCTGCCTCCGGGCCCTGGCACTGGGCTGGGCGCACGACCTGTCTCGGCGGTAAGTGAACGAGCTGTGTGCTGTCGGGGAGGCTGAGCGGCGCTCACCCGCACCCCTCTGTGTGCTCCTCTAGATCCCATTCTGGTACAGCAGCTGCGCCGCACATACAAATACTTCAAAGATTACAGACAGGTGAGCGGGAGCCCGGGCCCGGCCCAGCTCGCCACCCTCTGCCCCGGCCCTGTCTGAGCGTCCCCGTTCTCCCTCCCGCTCAGATGATCATCGAGCCCACCAGCCCGTGTCTTCTCCCGGACCCGCTGCGGGAGCCCTACTACCAGCCGCCCTACACGCTGGTCTTGGAGCTCACTGGAGTCCTCCTGCACCCCGAGTGGTCGGTGTGTCCTGGGGAAGGCAGCGGTCGGGTCGCTGCGTGGGCCCGGGTGGCCGGGTGGCGGCAAAGCGGTTGAGCGCAGACGCCAAAGCCAGGCTGGGGTTGAGGGCTGAGCCCCAGTTCTGCTGTGTATTCCTGGGGGTGGGGGATTCCGCTCACCGCCTCGCCCCTGGTACTGTGAGAAGGGCGCGGGACCCCACCCCGCAGTCATAGGCGTGGTCAGCAGCGGGCCAGGACCCGACGACCCTCAGCCGCAGCCAGGAACTGACCCCGGAGCCGCACAGACCCTGGGGAAGCCCTCTGCTTCTGGGGCTCCCCCAGGCCGGGCCCTTGGTGTGCCCTGGGGGGCCCTGAGGCCTCCGGGCTCATGTCTCACTGTCCTCACTGCCTCCCCAGCTGGCCACTGGCTGGAGGTTCAAGAAGCGCCCAGGCATCGAGACCTTGTTTCAGCAGCTGGCGCCTTTGTATGAAATCGTCATTTTTACGTCAGAGACGGGCATGGTGAGGCCTGAGACGGGCGAGGAGAAGCTGGCGGCGGGCCGGGAGAGCTGCCGGGCCCAGTCTGACCGCCCTGCTTCCCCGCCCGCCCAGACGGCGTTTCCGCTGATTGACAGTGTGGACCCTCACGGCTTCATCTCTTACCGCCTCTTTCGCGACGCCACGAGATACATGGACGGACACCACGTTAAGGTGCCACGGGGGGCCGAGGCCGGGGGTGTGGGGTTGGGGCGGCGTATCCGGCATGTCTTTAGGGAGGGAGGACCCAGTTTGGATGCCTCGGCCCTGCCCAGGCACCGCTGGGCTGGCCTCTGGGCCGCCCTTTCCTCAGCACCTGGCCACAGGGGTGGGTAACGGGGTCTCTTCACGTACTGCACTTAGGTGAGGGGGGTAAGGCTGAAGCCATTTCCCTGTCTGGACCGGGCGTCTCTGGCGCCGCTGGCGTGACCCGCACGGGTGGCTGCTGGTGCCACTGCGCTAGTCCACGCGCTGGCCCGGGACCCCTGGGTGTGTCTGTCTTGGGGTTTCGCACTATGTCGTGGCGGGGATTTGTGTAGGCCTTCGGAGTTCAGCGTAGGCTCTGATCGGGGGTGGGAGGGTCTGTGTGTGAGCGTCTAGTGACTCCTCGGTGTCACTGCCCATGTGTTTGTCCCGCTATCTGGTCGCCTGCAGCTTGTCACGACCCAACAGCACCCTGCTCCCTCCCCAGGGAGCCTCCAGGTCATCCTGCGTGCCTGACTCTGGGTCCATGCAGGCTTCTTACTACCCTACCCCCCCAGCTTCTGGGGGGGGTCATCACCCCATCCTGGTCTCGGGGGCCCCACCCCCGCGGAGGCTGTGTATGTGCTGTATGTCTCTGTCTCCTGTCTCCCTCACCCCCGGGGCTCCCGGCAGGAGGGGCGGGAAGGCGCACAGGCCTGGACCCGACTGTCACCCCCTTCCAGGATATCTCGTGCCTGAACCGGGACCCGGCCCGGGTGGTGGTCGTGGACTGCAAGAAGGAGGCCTTCCGCCTACAGCCCTACAACGGTGTCGCCCTGAGGCCCTGGGACGGCAACTCCGATGACCGGGTCTTGTTGGACCTGTCTGCCTTCCTCAAGAGTGAGGCTGACCCCTGGCCTCCTGGCCGTTCACCCTGGAACCCTCCCCCTCGCGGGATAACAGACCCTTGATCTGGCTCGTCTGTCGCGTGCGATGGGGTGCCTGAGGTGTGGGCGCTCCGTGAGCATCTTGTCCTTAGGAGCTGCTCAGCGTTTGGGGAGCTTTAGGGGTGCTCAGGAATGTTCCCAGGGGCCCTTGCAGAGTGTTGAGGTGCCCCACGCCGCCCCAGCTCCCCACAGCGCCCGACCTTTATCCTCACCATCCCGCCTTCCCGGTGGCGGCTGATCCTCCTGCCGTCCCGCAGCTATCGCTCTGAACGGCGTGGAGGACGTCCGGACGGTGCTGGAGCACTATGCCTTGGAGGAGGACCCGCTGGAGGCTTTCAAACAGCGGCAAAGCCGGCTGGAGCAGGTGGGCGCCCAGACCCCAACCCCAAGGAGACAGAAGCACCCCAGTCCTCTCTCACACAAGCTGTCTGGAGGGCTCTGGACAGGGTCTGGCTCCACAGTCCGCTCCGAGAAAGGCTGGAAGCGCCGGCCTCTGATGCGCTGGCGCTGGGTCATCCTCGATGGTCTCACATCTGGGGACCCAGGTTTTTTGTGGACTCTGGTTTTGGATTAGATCTGGAAAGCAGGACCTCTCAGCCATGGGTCCAGGGGAGGGGTTCTGATGATCTCGGGTGACCCTGGCCATCTGCAAGTGACACTGAGCGAGGACTGAGCCTGGAAAGCAGCTCCTGGGGTCCAGGCCGAGCTGCGGCCAGCTTCTGGGTGGGTTCGTGGAGGCAGGGCCTAAAGCAGGTGTCCATGCAGAATGGGCCATGGGGTCCCCCGGAATCCAGGGGGCCACAGGGCTCAGGCTGCAGTGGAGGCCCCAAGAGCTGGATCGCATGGTCTGTTAAAGAGCCCCAGGGTTTGGGCTCGGGGTTCTCCCAGCATCCAGGTCGCAGTGGGCTCTGGGATCAGCGTCCAGGTAGGCCCTGGGGATCATGGGGGCTCCTGTCGCTCAGACATGGCTCTCGGTGCCTGGGCTTCCCCTCTAGGTCCTGGCACCTTCTGGGTATGGTGCGGTGATTGTGGGGCGTCTGGGAAAGGGTCGGGACCAGGCAGAGGGTCAAGTAAAAGGTAACCCCGGGTGAAGGCCGGAGACCCGGGAGGAGCTCTGCGCCGGCCGACCCCGCCGCTCTGTCTTCCCTACCCCAGGAGGAGCAGCAGCGCCTGGCTGAGCTCTCCAGATCCAGCAAGCAGAACCTCTTCCTCGGCTCGCTCACCAGCCGCCTGTGGCCGCGCGCCAAGCAGCCCTGACTGCTGGGCCACCTCAGACTCTGCCTGGGTCCTGGGCCCTGGTGCTCCCAGACCCAGGCGTGGGCAGCCACATGGCCAATAAAGTCCACCCAGACGCCACGCCCCTGTGTCCCGAGTCACCGGTGGGGCGCGGGGGTGCAGTCGCCGCTCCTGGGGCCTGGCCGCCCGCACAATGGCTGGCCAGTGCGCGCAGTGCCGCCTCGGCGGGTCGCGGTCACCGATAGCCCTGGCCTGGGGCTCTGACACCCACTCTAGCTGTGTCTTCTGAGCTGTGTGAACTGCGAAGAGTGTGTCTCCCTCTCTGGCCTCGCACCCCCGTCTGGGCCAAGGAAAGGGGAGGACGGCGCCGGGGCTTTGGGAAAGCTGCCAGGCTGCCGTGAAGTGTTGCTTCCGGAGTGGAGACTGGTCGGCCCGAGGTCACCTTTCCTCGAGAGGGCAACTCTGCCCACTGCACCCCTGTGGGAAGGTGGGCCCAGAGTTGCCCCAGCTTCTGGGTCTCAACAGAAACCAGAAATTGGGGGTTTTACTTTATTTATTTTAAAAGATTTCTTTATGGCCCTCCCTGGTGGCGCAGCGGGTTGAAGCACAGCACTGAGAATCTGAAGCCACTTGCACATGAGTTCGATTCCCGCCTACCGCCTGCCCCGAGGAGCCCACATGGCGAGGCCCGCCCGCTGCTCCCCTCAGCAGTGTACTTCGTCGATCCGCCTGTTCTGCTCCCCACTCTGTCTCTGGTGAAGCCTCTCGCCGCCCCTGAGTCTCTGGCCTGTACCCCAGTTCTGTATGCGCAGGTGAATAAATCTTTAAAAAAAAAAAAAAAGATTTCTTTATGCATACAAGAACTGGGGTACAGGCCAGAGGCACAGGGGGTGAGAGGACTCACCAGAGACAGAGCGGGGAGCAGAACAGGTAGACGAAGTACACTGCTGGGGGGGAGCAGCAGGCACGTCAGGAGCAGTCTGCTGTGCCATGTGGGTCTCTCCCTGGCCAGGGATCGAACTCCTGTTGCAGTGGCTGCTGACAATTTAATAGTGCTGTGCTTTAACCTGTTGCCCCACCAGGGAGGACCCAGAAATTGGGTCCTCCCAATATTAAACCTCCCAACTTCTGAATACTGGCCCCTCACTGAGACCAGCAGGCCACATAGCGCAGACACGGTCCCTGGAGGGGCAGTGGCCATGTTCCACCTCTGCTCGGTCCAGCGCCAGAGCCGCTGGCCACACAGGGCTGTGGAGGGTGTGAAAGTGGCCCATGTGCGTGGAAACGAATCTTAAATATTTCACCTCAAGAACTTACACCTGAAGTGGCCACAGGGGCTGCCCGGCTCGCGCCTCGGGTAGTCCAGCAGCAGCCGCCTTCTGCAGTGAGCTGAGAGCAGGGTACTTGCCCTGTCCTGCCTCGGTTTCCACATCTACAAAACAGTGGCGCCTACCTCAGAGGCAAGGCTTCGGGGTGGAGCAGGCCTCTCCCGTGGGCACTCACAGGGCCCGACCACTTTGGAGATACCCATGCGGCTTTACTCCGGCTCCCCCACCCCGTCCCTGCCTTGAGCTGTGCCAGCTCCCTCACTGCAGCCAGCATCTGGTGCTGGCACCAGCCAGGTAGTTTTCATTTAAAAGACCTTGCCTGGTGTTATAATTAAAAAGAACTTGAAACACTGGGCCAGATTGAACCTCTGAAGTCTAGATCTTTTTCAGAGGTGCACAGACATCAACAACGAATTGGATTCTCTGCCCCCTCCACACCCCGTGTCCAGACGGTATGGACTGCAGTCCTGGGGGGTGCCTCCGACGTGTGGGTCTCCCTAGCTCGACGATGGCTTCTGACGATGGCCTCCGGAGTGAGCCCAGACCATGTCTGCTGCCGAGTAACCAAAGCCAAAGTGGAGATTGGGGCTCATGGCTGGGAACTATGATCCTGGGAAGCCCCTCAAATGTGTGTTTGCCTGTCTTCAGCGGGTGGCACCCCTAGTCCCACCACACCGAGGAGGTGGTCTTGAAATGTGACAGCTCTGTCCCCCACAGGGCACGAGGGAAGGTGTGTCCATCCCAAGGGCTAAGGCTCTGGGCACACTAGTGTCCAGTGGGCGCCAAGCAGAGGCCCACTGGAGGGGTGACATGAGGGGAGGAGGGGCGGGTCACACAGGGACCCTCAGACACTGTGGTACAGCCTAGGGCATTTTCTCAGCGTGCTCTAGGCACCATGGCTGCACCATGGTGTCACCCAAGGGGCAAGACGGCAGCATTAAGAATACCCCAACATGGATAAAATCCCCCTAACCCACCTGCTAGGTCTGTGGTCCTGGGGCATCTGTCTCCCCAGAAGAGGGAGCACTTATGTCATGCAAAGTTCTCGGCATATGTTCCTAGGCTCTGACCACGAGCCTCTTTGTGGGCACTTGGTTCAGCAGTGACAGAAAAAGGGCCCTGCCCTCTGGCTAGTGCTTCACACAGGAGCTGGGCAATGCTCACTGTTTCTGAGCACTGAAGGACTAGCTAGAGTGTGGTGCAGTGACTTGGGAAGCTGCAGTGCTGTTTCAGGTTGGGGTGTCCCAGCTTTGGAGATGTGTTTGTGCAGAGACCGGGGTCAAGGAGAGAGCAAGCATGGGACCTCTGAGAGTGCCAGGCAGCCTACCTCAGGGCCTTTGCACTGGCTCTTCTCTGCCAGGAATGTTTTCCCCAGGGTCGGTGTGCCTGCTCAGGGTCGCTAGGTCTCTGCTCAGCGTGGTGTCTGAGTTTGGTGGTGAGAAGCCCTGAGTTCCTGTGGGCCAGAGTGGTGAGGGCTGGGAGAGCGGAACCAGGGGCAGGAGGTGAAGTCTGAATGCTGAAAATGGAATTAAAGATGGGGGCAGGGTAAATAAGTAGATGTGACTGCGGTGGGGCCTGGGGTGTTGGGGCTGTATTTCTCAGGAGTAAAAGGAAACATTTGAGTTCTTTATTCAAACCCGGCAGCCCCCATGTGCCTGGCTCTGCCCACTAGTTAGTTATTGGTCCAAAAGAAAAGGACTTTACATACATGCACATAGGGGCAGTATTTCCTGCCATAATGATTAGCTGTTAAGTATGGAATTTTGGGGGGGGCGGAGAGTACCCTGAAGGGCTGCCCACAGAGGAAGTGGTCACCAGCAGGGCTGGAGCATCTGTTGTCCTGGCCGTGGAACTCCGAGGGCTCTGCGCGGGGGTGGAGGGCGTCCCCCGTCCAGCCTGGAGTGAGGGGCCAGGCTCTGGGACTAGACCGCACTTCCTGCCCATTTGCTCCTCACACCTTTGGAGACCAAACGGGGCGCCCAGCTGCGGCCCGAGGGGGAGGGGCGCGCCGCCCGGCAGATGGCGGCATTTACATACAGCTGGGCGCCCGCTCCCCCCGGCCCGCGCCCCCGCGTCTGGAGCGTCGGTGATGCGGGGCAGGGGAGGGTGCCTTTGTTGGGGGAAGAGAAAACACAAGCACACACACTCAGGGCTCCCCCAAGCCCCCATCGCTTCGTGGCGTCCTCTCGCGGCTACACCCCGGCAGGCACCACCTCCACGAGATCCCGACACACTCGCCCCGGCAGTCGCGCCTTGAAGGGCGCCGCCAAGCACACGCACGGGCACCTGCACGGACTCCGAGGCGCGGGTTCACGCCGTAGCTGGGCGCAGGAGCTCAGGTACACACTCCACGCGCACACGGTCGCGCACCTCGGTCGTCTAGGACTGGGCGCTGCGCGCGTGCCCCCCCCCCCCCCAGGGCCACTCACAAACCGGCTCCGTCGTTCACACTGCCCTGCACACGCGGCCACACGGCCTCACCTGTCACACTCCCCTCCGGCCGCGCTCACTCACGACCACGCACAGCTCACGGTTCTGCACCGGCACAACCCTCCAGCTTCCGCCAGAGTCGGCTCACGGCGCTCGCGCTCGCAGACCCTCAAAAACGACCCTGCCGTGCCCTCGACCGCGCGCGGGCTCGCGGCTGCTCCTGCGCGCTCCCCGACCCTGCGACCTCCTCCCCTAGGGCCCCCCAGAGCCGGTCCCTGCCTGAAGGGGCGGAGCCGTCCCCTCAGGATATAAGGCTTCCGCGCAGGCAGCTGCGGTTTCCGAGACCCCGCAAGGCCATGGTTGTGCCGCCGAAGCCCCAGCTGCTGTCCCAGACCGTGATCCTTGCGCTTATTTGCCTCCCCCAGGTCAGAGCCGGAGCCGAAGGGGTGGGGAGAGGACGGGATGGGGAGTGGCAGGGAGGGGAGGCGGCGACACTCAGCGGTCTGGGGAGGGCCCCTCGGCCCTCGAGACGCCCGGGCCCCCGGCCCCCTCACCCTTGCGCCCTTTCCACCCAGGCACAGCCGGCCGGCGTCTTCGAACTGCAGATCCACTCCTTCCGGCCCGCACCAGGCCCGGGGACCCCTAGGTCCCCCTGCAGCGCCCGCGGCCCCTGCCGCCTCTTCTTTAGGGTCTGCCTGAAGCCCGGGATCGCGGACGAGGCCGCCGAGTCTCCGTGCGCCCTGGGCGCGGCGCTAAGCGCGCCCGGACCCGTCTACACGGAGCTGCCCAGGGCCCCCGCGCCGGACCTGCCGCTGCCCGACGGCCTCCTGCGCGTTCCCTTCCGGGACGCCTGGCCGGTGAGAGCCGGCTCCGGGGCACCGTGTGCCAGCGCCTTACCCCAACCTCCACCGCTTTCTGCTCTCCAACTTCCAAGACCCTAGCCAAGCCTGCCCCCTGCTGGGCCCGACGTCCCCAGACCAACTTGGTTCCCAAGCCCTTCATCCCTTGGGAACTCGCGTTTTCTCATTCAGCTTACCTGAGCCCTTCACGCGTGGAGATCCACATTCCCGGAGTCCCACACTCCCCCTCCCGAAAGCTCACAGAACCCTCCTGCTTACAGCTGGATCCTCATCCTCCCATACAGTAGGGGCCCCACCGCCTCTTACCCCTTCTGGGTTCTTCCACTAGGAGCTTTGTCCATCATTTCCACAGCCAGCCCAGGGCCCCAAAGCATAGAAGTGAACAGGCCTGTACTGGAATTCTAGATCGTCGTCTGTTTGGGCAGTTACCTTCCGTTTTCTAGCCCCAGTTTCTCCATCATAAAGCAGGACTGGGCAGGGGACCTCACAGGTTTGGGAGATTCAGCCAGTTTTGTTTTGTTGTCTTTTTTTTTTTT